ATTAACTGTTAATTGATTAAATTAATCTTTGCATATACTAATTAATCAGTACTTTATATGAAAATTTTGTTTTGACATGTTAATTAACGTTCAAGTATAATGTATACTAATAAATCGATATATGATAATATGTAGAGAAAGCGAAATTTTGTATTTAACAAATAATATAACGATTAATAACACGCTAATATATGAAGACAAAAACTTGTATAAATTTTAATATCGTAGTTAAATTAATGCATTCTTATGTTTTAATTAATCAGTTTATATAAAAGTAAAAAGAAGCTTGTAAAATTTAAATTAATTTGTCAATTATTGAAAAATAAAGTATTACTCAAATTTATTAAGCTTGTTATTGCGCTTGTTATTGCACTTAATATATATAAATAGTGCCACATCGACTCAAAAGTTTGTCAATAGTTATAGTATACACGAACTTCTATAAATAGCCTTCGATAAAAATTCTCTAAATTAACTAAAACCTCTAAAGTGTTTGGTTTCCAAATTGAAAATGTCTACTTCTGACATTCCAACTCATGACCCTAATAATCCTACTTCTAATATTCCAACTCACAATCCTAACGATCCAACTTACTTATGACCCTAACAATGAAACTGAGTGGTGTTCTCACTGCAAACAATTCAGATTAGCTAATGAAGTTATAAGATCCAGTAAAAGTACAAGTAAAATTAAAAAATTCGCGACACGTAATTACTGTTCTGAAAATGATAGAATAATGAGGAGAGAAATACAGCATAGAAACATATCATCTGACGATAGCCTCTTCTCCCGAATATTGAAGTGCTTACCAATGATAGTGACAGCAAAAGTAGTGAGGATGATCTAATTTACAACATAAGTGATCTTGAAGAACTTATAGCCCTCAAATTTAGAGAATATGAAGAACTAGAAACCAATGTTAGTTTTTCAGTAATCGTAAAAATTGAAAATGAAACGTGGATCAAGAAATTTTGTCTTTGGAACCTGGTCAAGATATAGAAAATAAAAAATTTTGTACTATAGCAAAAATGTTGCTCATACCTAGGGTGTGGAATGGGCCGGGCTAAGCCTGGAAATTTACGGGCAGGCTGGGTTCGGGCCTAGTTCGGGCTTATATTTTTGAGCCCATTTATTATTTGGGCCGGGCTCAAGCTGGGCTTAAAAAGTACCGGGTCAGACCAGGCTTGTTGAAAAAGCCCGGGTAGGCCCGATAAACTATATATATATGCCTAACAACCCTAACATCACTCAAAAAAGATGGTATGTACGTAGCCGTATTACATACGTGCATACATACAATTTTGTAATTTTATTGGGTCTATTATTATTAGCTAAAATTACAAACTTAACCGAATCGGCCAAAAAATCATTCGGCCAATTATTTATCAAGTGTTCAAGAAATTATGATACAGTTGTTTTCATAAATTCTGAAACACCTGATAAAAATCGCTGAATAATTTTTCAGCCTATCCGGCTAAGTAGATGATTTTAGCATGATCGATACATAATGATAAATTACATATAAATTACATAGTAATTTGAAATATATATGTTTTTACACAGACTTACATACTACAGCACTAAACATGTTGGGCAAGTATTTAAATGAAAATTTAGTAATATTGAATGTGTCAACATATTATAATGTTAAAATTATTACAGAAAAGTATCACATATAATACATATATATTTTATATATAGGAATATAGGGATATAAATCAGTATATAGTGCAGAAATTTGTGTGTAAATTTCTGATATATAATTTTTGTTATATAAATAACATTGTCCAGAACTTTTATAGAGCTGGCACACAAAGTCTAATAATGCTGGTAAAATTTTTGTAATGCAGATTAATAATCATATGTCACATTGATTAATGAAAAAGTATATATTACAGCTGTTATCATTATTCCTGAAACACCTTATGAAAAACTAACCGAATAATTATTCAGCCGATCCGATAAGTTATTGATTTCAGCATGATTAGTACAATATTTATTATTTATAGAAATAGTCTAAAGCCAGGTATGTGCGTATGTATATAGGTTTTAAATTGGTTACTAATCGATTGTAAATTGATACTCACGTGAAACATATAGCTTTAAACAACCTCTATTTACAATGCAACAGTGCTAATTATTAATCAGATAACCAATATCAATATAACAAAAAAAATTTTAGGTTATAAGTTCTAATAATTGCTAAATGTTTAGGTGTCAGCAGATCATCAATAAGTCGAGCTCTTAACCAATTTTAAAGATATGGTTATGTTGAAAGACTTCTGCCACTTGTAAAAAAGCCAGTCTACTAAACCTGAATGATATATATAAAATATCTTAAGACTTTAATTGTAGAGAAGCTTGACTGTAGTATTTTTATGAGTTACAATCTGAGGTAGAACTTTGATAACAGAGATTGTCAAGTTTAATATAGTTATACATTAAAGCTTAACATAAATTTATTCAAATGTATAATACGGACATATACTCAAATTGAATTGTATAAGCTAAGTATATTATTAATCATTACATATCAATATATCGCATCATTATCATTACCAATATCTAAAGGAAAAAAAATCATAAATTATATTTTGCTACAACTGTATCTAAGAATATAAATATTCAATTAACCACAAAATTTTTGTGTAATGGTGTTAAACTTTCTAAGGATACTGTATGTATATAACTTTAGACTATCTCCATAAATAATAAATGTTATATTGATCATGCCGAAATCAATATATCGAATCAGCTGAATAATCATTCAGTTAATTTTCATGAGATGTCTCAGAAATAATGATAACAGCTGTCATTTTATTGTATTTATAATGCCAAAATAATAACTTAACTGGAACGGCCGAAAAATCATTCAGCAGATTTTTATCAAGTGTTTTCAGAAATTATAAAAACAGCTGTAATAGCAATAGGTAAACAGATCAGGCCGAGCTAGGCTGAACTTAATTTTAAATAGTCCTGGCCCAGGCCCACAACACCAGGCTTTTATTTTTTTGGGCAGGGCTCAGGCTCAAAAATATTTTTCAGGTCTTGTTTTGGGCTCAGTAAAGCCCAGCCCGACCCAGCCCATTTTGCACCCTACTCATATCTATTCAAGAGGGATCGGATACTATTGGGAAATTTGCAATTTATATCCTAATATAAAAGATGATCAATATATAGGATGCGCAACAGCTCATCTATATTGCACTCAAAGGTAAGATTGCAAATTTTATCATCTAAAAAATTTTATATGAAAAACTTATAAATTTTTTTAATAAATATTCAAAAAAAGCTTGCCAATAATACAGTAAAACTTTATAAATGCATCTTCTATAAGTGTACACCTACTCTATATACATACTCAAACTCAGATTTAGCTATATAGATAACCTCTATAAATGCACTTTTTCTTATTGTTCTCTAAGTGCATGTTGTTAAAGTTTGGTCTCAAGAGCATGTGCTTATAGAGGTTTACTGTATAATTAAAATATTAAAATTTGACCAGCGGGTTATGAACCCAATTAAGTTTGTATCACCATATAATCCTTTATCTTTCTACTTATCGTCTAATGCATCATAATATTGTTTCAAAATCTTTTCTAAATGCATTTTGCTTTTTTGTTAATATTTCTCATCTAATATTATATCTTTTAATTAGAAATTGGAACCTCCTAAAATTTTTCTTAATTGTTTAACTATTTAATTTGGTCGGCATTAAAATAATTTCAGCTCACAACCAACATAATTCCGCCAGAACTATAGAACAATTTTTAAATAGTTAAACAGTTCCAATCCCTACTTTTAATGTTATATTAAAAGTTTTGCCTCTAAAATGTTCATTAAGCTCCTTTTGAATCTTTATGCTCTAAACTAAAAAATTTAATTAATTAAACTAATTTAATTAATTTATTATTATTAAAAGGTCTGATCACGAATATAAAAGTCTAGATAACCAACCTGCAAAGTGCATAAGCAAAGCACAGCCTGTTATTCAACATTTTTTATGTGAGGGTGTAATAAAAATCAAAATAGATTTATGTAAAAAAAAGCAATAATGTCTATAAACCATTTGGCTCATGAACATCCTATATATAAGAAAACAAAATTACCTAACAATGCAATAATATGGATACAACAAAATATTAGTAATATTCCACGAAAAATTGAGTTCTATAAACAGCTTTGTAATGAAAATTTGATTAATCTATCCTTACATACTTATTACCAAGTATATGATATTTTCTTGAGTTTGAAGGAATAGAATGGTAAAGCCAAGCATGCACACGAACTCATTCTCACAGTATAAAATAACTTCATACCCTTCATCTTTTAACTCTTTTTGTTTTAAAAAATTTTTTGCAAAATTTAACTGATTTTCAACATCAGTCATATATTGATTTAAAAAGAATTTATGTACTCTATCACTGAAATTATTGTTAACTCGACATTTAAGATAAACCAGGAGCGGTTTGAACTCTTTGCCATAAATATTAATTGTGGTGGGTATAGCAGGACCCCGAAATACGTATGGAGGGGTAAGGTTTTAAAAAAATTACTAAATATAGAAGGATCTGCAAGAAAAAGTCAAAAATAAGCAAGCTAATTACTAAAAATGGAATTAATCTGCACAAAAAAGACCAAAAATAAGCAAACTAAAACCTTACCAGTACATAGATTGTTCGGGGTCCTGGTATAGCGTTCCTTTTGCATATCTATATGTAGATACGTATACTGCACTAGGAGAACAGCTTTTAGATCCAAGGTATATTTTGCATATTAAATGTTTTTATTATTAAATTTTAAAATTTTGCTTTTAAAAATTTAAAATTTAGCAATGAGGTATACACAAGAGTTAGTGTACTTACTGAATTTTTAAAAACTTGCAAAATAAATATGTTCTACCTATCTTTGTGTTGCTTAACAAAGATGCTGGAGAGATTATAGCTATTCATGAGGCTTGGTCTCAAACTACAGTAATCCAACTTTGCCTCTGGCATATGAAACGCACAATTAAATGCAAATTAAAAGAAAAATAATAATACATAGGGTTTAATTTTTAAATTTTGACACAAATTAAGCTTTACTGATTCACTATCTATTATTTCTAAATACTTCAAACTTATTAACTCTTATAGCCCAACAAACTTTTTAAATTTAGCTCTTAGCCACTATGGCACATATTACTTAATATTTCTAAGTCATACAATCTACAAATTAATTTTCACAAAGTTCAAGCTCATACTGATGATTATTACAATAATTTAACTGATATACTTGCAAAGCAATATATTCTTGCACCTTCCCTATACTTTATATATACCAATATTCACAACCCCTTTCATATTATATAATGGGAATAATATCTAGTTGAATCTCCTACAAGACATTTTATAAAAAATATCTGCAAATCACAAATTCTAGCACTATGGTTATCACAAAACTGCAATATAGAATGGTCACCTTTTATTCAACAAATTGACTAGAATTCTACTTGATTATACTTCAACTATAACCAAAAACCTACTTACAACTATACTATTTTTAAACTTAATCAACTTAAGTCCTTTAAAATTAAAACTCTGCTTAATAAACTACCTACTTCCTTCTTTTATTATACAAGATACTCCATGATTTTCAATAATCCTAACTGTTTTTTTTGCAATAGTTTAGATTCTGTCTCACATTGAAGAGTTTGTCTTAACTCTACTATACTATTCAATATTATTTTTAATTCTATTACTGAAATTCTTCAAAACTCAGCATTAGACCTATCTAGTAATCAAAAAGATAAGCTTATCCTCAAAATTCAAAATCATGCAGCCTTTAATAATAAATTACTAAGACCAAATGAACTCTCTTGAACATTACACTTAAAAGTCTCATTCCAATATCTTTAATTCAAAATATTTAAAAATACAAAATTCTATATAAACTGACCTCTCAAACTATTATTAAAATTCTAATC